TATTTGAAATGAAGTCCTGTATCATTAAAATCAAGGAAGCTAGGAAGGTATGTTTCACAAATTGACCATTCAGTTTTAAACCAATTTTTTTTTTTTGACAATACCCAGAATTTTAATTATCTAACAGCAGTCAACAATGAATTTTAAAAAGACTTGTAAATTTACACACACTTTGCTTTTTAAATATCCCAAAAAAATAATCTAGAAGTGTCAAATCCGCGGATCTTACTGGTCATTCGATAGATAGATGGGTCTTCTTCCAATCCAACCAGATGAAAATGTAATATCGGAAAACTCACGAACGCCTCGAAAATAATGAGGAGATGATCCATCTTGTTAAAGCCAAATTGACCTATTCACGAGATGAGGATTTTAATCGTCTTCTTTCAGTTCCTATACAAATTGTGCTTTATAGGGATGCCATCTTTCTAAGTCTAGTAGCCTTATGAGGATCTTCAACCATCCATAAAAAATGCCAGTTTTTGTTTCCTCTGGAATCTCAGGGCGACCAATTTTTGGGAGTTCTCGGATGTCCACATTTCTCAAATTTATGAATAATTTTAGATACAGCTTCATGTGCTAAAGGCGTTCAGTCTTCATACTTATTATTAAATATTTCAAGTACCACGTATCCTACAAATAATGTCGCAAGTAAAACATGCTCAAATTTCATAATTTTTTGATATTATTACCTGTAGCCACTGCTTTTTGGTATTAAAATTTCAATATTTTGAGGCCCTATTAAATGTACCATTGTAATTTTTGTTAAGCCTATTTTCAAAAACTATCACAACGTGCCTGCAGACACAGACAAACAAAATGAAAGCTAATCTCATCCAAAAACAGAAAGGGCTTTTTAAAATTTAACAAATATCAAGTGGCCCATTTTATTTTCTCTTTCTGTTGGCCATTTTGCATCGACAATAAAAAAAACTAAAAAAGAAGATTATAAGATATACGGATGGTGCTATTTGAAAATATGCCTATTCTCCTTATATCTCAGAAATTTTACAATTGACAACGTCGAAATTATAAAATTATAATTTAAAATTATAAAATTTTAAAAAACAAAGTCGGAATTTTAAAAATTTTAAATTCGATGTAAATTTGAACAACACCTCCGACTAACATCGATATCAAGAGTGGAGCAAGATCGATGGTGTGGACGAACCCTAATGTTATATCGCAGATTTATGCTAAAATAAAAAGCTAATATATTTTATATATTTAGTTAGTTAAGTCAATGTTATAAATGTTTGAAATATTTTGAAGAAATATGCTTAATGTCATCAATGTTGTTTTTTGCATGGCTCAAAACACATAGAGCGTTGCAATACTATATTGGCAAAACATCTTAATAAGCTCTTTTACGGGCACGTAAAAAATCAAGTATCAAACGCAGCTCGTTTTTGATTTTGCTTTTCTATGAATCCCAAGTTTTCTACAAAGATGTTTTTTCAATACGAGTAAATAATACGCCTTGTAGATAATACCAAGCTCTTTAATAACGTTACAATGTTTATAATTAGAACAGATTTTAGTTTTTTATGTTATTTTTTTTTGTTTTTTATGTTATTTTTCTTTGTGATTTTATTAACTTTTTCGAGTGTTTTATAGTGGTAGATTGATTAACAAAAAATAGTTTATGGCTATGAAATACATTTATCAAGTTTATAGACAAGTAAAATGTTTCTTAAATAGCAATGTTAATTGCACTATTGCTCCTGATTACTATATTTTGTGTGTGTACCTAAGTTGAGAAGGGGAGGACTGTTTGTCTCATGTCTGTATTTTTTAATTTGTTAATTTCCATACACTCCAATAAAAATAGCTTAAGGCCTTTATTTTATCATTAAAAGAAAAATTATGGTCTAGAAATTGGAAGTGCGTAGTAAGAATCTGTTTTTCTCTTATTGACGTATTCTATTAGACCTTTTGTGTTCTGCTGTGCGTTTGTTAAGAGTTCTACCAGTTTGACCGATGTAAGTTTATATTATTAAATACCATGTGTATAAGTATAGAAAACGAGATATGAGAGCTGTTTATCTTAAAGTATGTCATTCAGAATTGAATTATAGATTGAATAATATAGAATTTGATATACTAGATTCTAACTTGAGAATTAAAGTAAATAATGTAAATGATAAATAATGCAATACACAGTGTAAAATACTCGATAGTCTAATTTGCAATTGTAAAAAACCCAATATTCATTATACAAAAAGTTTTTCGAACCATATTTTTTTCAATAGATTTATAAATTTAACAGATACTAAATTCAGTTATAGGAAGATACAACTTTTAGAGAAAGGATTTAAACACAACTTGACTCAACATAATAATCAAAAAACTTTTAAAATATTTAGATGTAGAATGTGAAGTACCGTTAAACAAAGCTGCCAATAATATCAAAAAAAGTGGCGTTGCAAAATATATTACCGATGTGTGTAGTGAAACTTCCTGTTTCACTACATTGTGAAACAAAAACAAAACAAAATGAAAAATTCCTGTTACAAAGAGAATCAAATAGCCATTTCAATTAAAAATAAATCAATAGAAAACAACATAGTATTCACAAAAGCGTGTAAGGATAACACTAGTATTGCTATACCTAGATAATATAGAATGTAATAAAAAAACATTAGAATTTTTAGATAATCGAAATATTAATACAATAAACAAATATCTGACTGAAAGTATCAAAAACTTATTAAACTGGCGTTAGAAATTCAAAATCAATATTAAATTCAATAGAATACTTCAGAACAGAAATATTTCAATTGTGGATCCCACAACATCCTAAATTATACTCTTTTATTTAACTTTACAAACCTGATCACCCAATAAGACCTGTAGTTCTTATAACCCATCTTATCCAAAGCAACTCCGTCATATAAACTTTCAAAAAAACTGTTAGAGATTATTTTAGAACACACTAAATTTTTACCTAAATTTACCGTAAAAATCAATTTCTAGTTACCTAATAACTCCAGATTAATTTCATTTAACGTAAAAAAATCTTTTTCCTAGTATTTTTCATAAAGAAACTTTTTTCTAGTAAAAAACCTTTTAGACAATAGACTAAAATATTACACATCCAGAATGTAAAATCTGAAATTTTACATTCTCTTGAAATTTGCATAAATCAAGACTACGTTAAATTGAATAATTAAAGACTTATATACAAATAACAGTGCAGGACTTATAATGGGTAATTCTTTAAGGCCATTGCTATCAGATATTTTTATGGATCATCTAGAAACAATGATTTCAAAACATCTATTCTAACAGTTTTTATATTGAAGGAGATACGTAGACGATGTACTGGTATGTTTTACAGAAACTATTCTTATCTATAGTTTTCCGTATTACATAAACCTACCCATACTGACACGACTATACATACACAATTTATGATTCCACCCTAGACAACATAAATTGGCAGCCTATCATAGGATGTTACATAGATTAATAGAAATTCCCATTTTAAAAAGAAACTACGAGATAGAATTAAATATTTAAAAAACAAATAGCAGTAAACAATGGATACAACGAACGAACAAATTTTAAATCATAAACTAAATAAGAAAGCCCTAAAATTAGTGATTTCCACCCAGAGAAAATCCCAGTACCTTCTGCTCGATTACATATACAGGCAAGAGATCAACAAAAATAGCCAAATACTGGAAAAGAAAGGAATAACAACAGCTTTAAAAACAAACAACAACTTAGGCAAATATATTAAGAACAACAAGTGCCAAAAAAAAAGCATTTACACAGTAGTGTATACAAACTTCAAGTGGGTGAGTGCCCAAAAACTTACATCGGTCAAACAGGTAGAGCTTTGAATAAATGTATAGCAGAACATAAAAGAGCTTTCGATAATAGAAAAATAAATTCTTCACATTCAAAATAAAGGTCTTAATCTATCTTTATTAGAACCTACGAAAATTAACAAATTAAAAATACAGATATAACTCAGTTCTCCACCTCATTGTCATTCCCTCCTCTTCCCCAATGAGAAAAACACACTGTCTAAACATCTTTATTCTAAACATCTAAACATTATAATAAATTTTGTATAAGTTTTAAAAACAAAACTTTTCAATGTTTTATTGCTTTAATAAACACTGAATAGCTGCTATTTTCCTGTATATGTATATATATATATATATATATATATATATATATATATATATATATATATATAAATATATATATATATATATATATATATATATATATATATATATATATATATCTTTTCATAGCCCAGTATCTATTCATGCTCTTTATCCATCCATTTTTCTTTGTGTCCTGGAATGATATTAACAGCACTTTTCTTTCCACGTTCCAATAAGTTTAGTTTCAGTTATTCTGGGAACATATCCTGAATGTTAGATTAAATACTACATTTCCCTTGAATACTTTATACTTCATGGTATAAGAGGGTGTTCCTAATATCTTCCATCTGATTCTTATTCGTCTGTTTATGATAAACGCAGTTGTGTCTTGGATCTATTTGTCCCATCGTAACTAGAAAAAGGTAAAGTGAAAACAGCTACAAGTTTTAGATAATGTCTACTCTGTCTGTAAATTAATAATAATTTAGTTTAGGCGTAGTACATCAATTACGTCACTTATATAAACATTTTTATAAACAGTTGTGACGTTATTGTGATAAAAAAGCTAAGATAGATAAAACAGGTAAAGATGTTTATTACAGCTCGAAAGGCAAACTAAATATAATTGTTTTAAGCCAAAATAATAGATATAATATCTTGATGAAAGTTTAATTTAAAATGATTGTTTAATCTTTTTATTTATTTAATTTTTTTATTAATTTTTTTATTTTATGACCAGATCTTTACAGTATATACACGAATTCCAAAAAATGTTCCAAACACGGTAGTGATCGCTCCACCTGCACACATCATTTCATCTAGGAATAAACTTATCCTAGAAAACAAATAATTAAATATATATTTATCCTGTTTAAGGTTTCGTGTGTTCTGCCACTGGCTATGTAATCACAGTTACTTTAGCAATATGATTTTGGTGTGTATTATGGTATCTTCAGCATTACTAGCAGTTGAGGACCCAATAGACACGGAGTCTGAAACCAATAAGGTGAGTTTATAACTGAATATCTATTAAACTACTAATAGTGTAGATGCCAGGGGGAGAAGTTGATTATGCACTTTTATGTCCCCTCAGTACCTGACGTTTTGTTGATGTTTTTTTATGCGTAGAATCATTTTTTTAGGTATCAGGCTGAAAACTCGCCAGATAATTTGTTATTTACAACTTAATTGTTTAAATAACTGTATCTGGTAAATTGTTAGAGATATTTATTTTATCAAAATGAAAATCGTTCTTTTTAAAAAAAGAACAAAGTGGCGTTTGGTAAATTTTTAATCCGACTGTTAGAACTGAAGTTATATCAGATTTTCTGAAAAACAATAATTGCAAAATAGGTATTCGATGGGGCTTCTCCAAGTATAACTTAGCTTTCATAGGTGCGATTACCTTTCAAAACCACCTTATTTTTAAGATAAGTGTTTCATATTTAAAAAAACTTGGCAAAATAACTTTATTTTTATTACTAAAAAACTTGTGACTATTAAACATTAAAAAAATTCACTAAAAAGTTGCTAAACTAATTTGTTTATAAGAGATTTAAACAAAATTAAGCTATAAACGGAAACTCTGACTAATAGAAAATATAGTACAACTCAAAACAAACAGTGTAGTAGTTGTAAATGTTTATGTATTAATTTTTCCAAGATATGAAACTTTTAATAGCGAACTATTTGGACGGTCAGCTTGCAGCGAATGCGGGCGAGCGTAAACCTATTTTTAATATGTTTTCAAAAAATTGACATCAAAGCTTAAAATGCTTGTTTTGAATTGTTCTGTAACTTTTGTTAACCAAAATTCCAACGTATATGGCTCAATTTTTATTTAAAACTCTTATAAACAAATATTTACCACTTTTTGGCGAAAATTTTAACTATAAACTGATATAACTAACTAAATCTCTAAATTTACATAGATTTTACGAATGTATTGGATTTACACTGGCATTCGCTGTGAGCTGAAAGTCCCATATCTTGGTCAAAAATTAAACAAAGAAACATTTAACAAAGCTTAAAATCTTTCTTTTAAGTTGTTTTATACCTTCCATTAGTTAGATTTTCAAAGTTTATAGTTTAATTTTGTTTAAATCTCTTATAAACAAATTAGTTTACAACTTTTTATTGAACTCGTCCCTATCCATCGGCTTTCTCCGCCAAACACGTATTCCCATATTTCTCATGTTGTCATCGATGTTATCAAGGAACCTTGTTCTGGGTCTTCCTCTTCTTCTCTGACCAATGGGTCTATCAAGGAGCATTTTTCTAACTGAGTCCAGGTCTCCGAACCATATGTTATTACTGGGCGTATTGAGTTTTATTTTTATATTTCTCGATATACTTGTGGATTTAAGGAGGAGATTAAGCCCAGAATAGCATCTGTTGGTCGTGCAAAATCTGCGGTTTATCTCTGCGGTAGTATTATTGTCAATGTTAAGGTTAGGTTAGATCACACCTAAAGGTGTGACCTAACCTGATTTATCTCTGCGGTAGTCACACTCCGAAAGGCTATACAGAAAGAGGCAAAGAGAAATAAGAGGGACCGAATTCATTGGATCCATCCTATTAACTCAAAAAGATACGATGTTGGTATGTTTGTCATATTATTTGAAGATTTAAGAAAATTGTCACATTATTTTACAAAGAATTGCATTTATAAAATACCTTGTGAATGCGATCAGTTTTATTTAGGTGAAACATCAAGACCATTAAATGTTAGAATAAGTGAACATCAATCTTATATTAAAAATAGAGAATTTGATAGATCTCAAATATGTAAACACTCATGGGATCATGAACATAGGGTTTAATGAAATAATTCAAATGTAGTCCTAAAAAAATCAAAGAAGCGGCTCTTATTATGCTAAATGAGACCAATTGTGTTGCAAATTCCTCGGCAGAATATAGTTACCAATATTGAAAGAGGAAGTTATTAATAAGAAAATACCAGTATTAGTAAGTCAGTAACATATAGAGGATATATCATTTATGTTTTTTAAATAACGAAACATATAAAATCAGAGTTTGGTGTTTATTGAAGGTAAACTAAATGCACGACCAAATACTTACGATGTCGGGATAGTATTATGAGGTTTTTTCCTGGTTTTTCCCTCATAATTTACTATGGAATCACTAACAGGAGAATTTTACTGTCATCATGTCATGTGTTTGTCTTGTTAAAGACGAATTACATGCTATGATTTTTTCTGACGGATATTCTCAAGTTAAAGTTGATTTCATGTAATCGAATGAACTATCTTATAAGTAAAGTCGTCCCAGGATCTCAACTCAACAATATTGGCAATATCATTTTAAAGTCGTCTACTTTAAAATGCATAATGTATGTCTGAATAGTCAATATAAATGAGTCAGATAAAATTAAATTATTAGAAGAATTTTTTACTAAGTAACAAAAAACAAAATTTGTTTAATTTACTCTTTGTATTTTGAGAACGATTTCCGAAGTGGAAATTGAATCGTCAATATACGTATTTTTACATTTAACTGTGGCTTATTCCCAGTTAAATAGTAATTAATTTATGTTGTGTTAGTGTTGCATTATAAAATTTGGGCTAAAAGGAATTAAGCTACACAAGGATATGTAATATTATGAAAAAAGTATATCACTTTTTATTTATCCTAGTGTTACACTCAACAGAAGGGTTTATTTCAAATCATTTGACATGAATATCACAACAGTAATTTTTTTACATTTCCCACTGTTGCTCTGAGGCGACGGTATATTCAACGTTAATTGCAACCATGTAAAATAAAATTATAATATAGAATTTTAATTGTGTTGTTATCAGAAATATGAATAATTATGATGTACTTACCAAATGCGTTTTTTTCATTATCACCTAGTTCCTCAAATTCACTGTAAAGTGCACTACACACATCATTCCAAGCATTTCTCGTCAAGTTTCTATCTTTATTATATTTCTACTGTTTTATCCCAAAGAATAGGTCTCGCTTCAACCAATGTTATTAATATTTCACTATCAATTTCACACATCATATTCATCACCTACTTTAAACAGCTGCAACACAATTGGTCTCATTTAGCATAATAAGAGCCGCTTCTTTGATTTTTTTTACCATATGTTTCTCTTAGGACTACATTTGAATTATTCCATTAAACCCTATGTTCATGATCCCATGAGTGTTTACATATTTGAGATCTATCAAATTCTCTATTTTTAATATAAGATTGATGTTCACTTATTCTAACATTTAATGGCCTTGATGTTTCACCTAAATAAAACTGATCGCATTCACAAGGTATTTTATAAATGCAATTCTTTGTATTATATAATTATATTATAATTATATAATTTGATTTCGCTCCATATCTACACTACACCTTTTAATTTACGAAATTATATTTAGTGTTATAGGGTAAACGATTTGGTTAAAACTGAAGTACGGCAGCAGTGACGCCTTGTGTGAAAGCACAATCAAGTCTGAACGTGCGTCAAACCTACCGAACGCCAAAACCACCGAACGTTCAAATTCTTAGTGTGTGAAAGGAGCATTGCTCACGTTCTACAGAAATGCCCCGCAACACACTGGCATCGCATCAAGAGACACGATCAGCTCATTACGTGTTTACGAAAGGTAGCTGAAAAGAAAGGGTGGACATGCGAGTTTGAGCCGCGAATAAGATGCGCCGACGGGACTCCGAAGATACCTGACCTTGTCGCACATCTGGGTCAGCAGGTAATTGTCGTGGACGTTGCCGTCAGCTGGGAGGGTCCTGAACCCCTTAGTACAGCCGCTGCCAATAAAATAGCGCTGTACACTGAGCCTCGACTCCTTCAGATATGCAGACCCGATATCCAGGGAAACAAAATTGCATGGCACCTCCAATCGTTTTAGCTCGCGGAACATGGTGTCATGAGAATTTTCAACCTTTCAAGGTTCGACGTCCGCAATTTTATCACAAAGGCAATTATGGGCAGCCTCCATATTCATAGTCATTTTATCCGGTCCTAACATAAATGGCTGATGAGAACTCATTTTCCGACTATTTACACACCGGCTTCTTCCTATTGTGAGACCTACGTTCGTCTAGTTAGGAATTTTTTTTATCCAATGGACCACGTAGATGTTGTGACGTCTCTTTATATGTGTGTATGTCTCTATTTTTAAATATTATTTTGTGCTTGGCTATGTTTTTGCTATGGGGGGGGATGGTCGGCACGTGAGATTTCATAACTGGTCAAACACCAGATCAACATTGGGCCATGCGCTGCTGGTCTGTTACTTTCCGGATAGGAACGGGGAGGAACAGACCAGCAGGACTGGTTATATGATGACTGAAGCCACTCAACCAGGCATCGCCCGGCCTACAAACCAAAAGAGGTTATGGTTCTGTTCTGATAGCGCTCCCAAGTATACAAATTCGTTCACTGATTGCACTGATTTGGACTGATTTATTGTATATTGAACCAGTCGTTGTGATGTGTGACATACGTATTACTTTTTTCAGAGCCAGATTGAACGATATACAGGAGAGATGGTTTCCCTGGCGCAGACCGTTATTTGTTTGAAAAGGTCTAGACGGTTCCTCCTGAATTCGTACTCTACATTCAACTTTTTCAAGAGTTAGTTTTGTTAAATTTACCAACTGATCTGGTGTTCCTAGCTCTTTCATTGCTTTCATTTCTCTTTTCTCATTTCTCAGCAACATTTCTCTTCTATTCACAGAGTCGTAGGCTGCTGAAGTAGTAGCTTAAGCAATTACCTTATAAAATACCTTACCTTTGTGCAATTAGCTTAGTTAATCGCACTTATAAAAGCTGAGTTATCCTTGGAAAATTTGTTATAACGAGGGTTCTAATCACCGGTCCAAAGTTTACAAACCGCCATTTTATTAATTTTTGCAGAAGGAAGCATTTTCATTTTGGTAAAATTAAATATATCTAGTAGTTTAGCAGATACAATCATTTAAACCAATAAATTGTTAATTACAAATTATGTGATGGGTTTTCA